TGGCTACCACTAGATTGAGATGGCAGAGGAGGATGTCTACAAGACAGCCTTCAAGACCAGGTATGGGACTTACGAGTTCCTGGTCATGCCATTTGGACTTTGCAACGCCCCAGGCACCTTCAAGACAGAGATGCACCGCATCTTCAGGCCTTACCTGGACAAGTTCATGGTTGTCTACCTGGATGATATCCTGGTATTCAGCCGGACTGCCAGGGAACATGCGGAGCACTTGGCTCTCGTCCTTCAGTCGTTACGTGACAGCCAGTACAAGATCAACAGAGAGAAGTCCTCTTTTGGAGTTCCCTCTGTTATCTACCTGGGTCATGTAATCTTTGGAGATGGCCTGGCTCCTGAAGCAGCCAAGATTGCTGCTATTCAGGAGTGGCCTCAGCCTCAGACAATGAGGGATGTCAGGTCCTTCATGGGTTTAGCCTCCTACTACAGAAAGTTTGTCAGAAACTTTTCTGCAGTGGCTGCACCCCTGACCAACCTAACAAAGAAAGATACTCCCTTTTTTTGGTCCCTTCCCTGTCAGTTGGCCTTCACACGACTCAAGAAGGCCTTGACTCGTGCGCGTGTGCTGAAGTTACCTGACCCCACTTTGCCATTCATCCTGACCACTGATGCCAGTCAGTATGGCATTGGGGCAGTTCTTCAGCAGGATGATGGGAATGGTCTACGACCTGTAGAGTTCATGAGTAAGAAGATCAAGACTCAAAAGCTCCAGGACTTTACCTACGAGAAAGAGTTATATGCTCTTGTCTGTGCCCTGAAACACTGGAAACACTTTCTCCTGGGTAGACACTTCAAGATCTTTTCAGATCACTCCACCCTGCTGTGGATGAAGTCCCAGGGAGAGTTGAATGACAAGTTGGCACGGTATATTCAGTTCATAGACATGTTTGACTTTGAACTGAAGCACAAGAAGGGCTGCTACAACAAGGTAGCAGATGCCCTCTCTCGTAGGCCTGACTCTTTTGCGCTGATCTCCTCTACTCACTCCTTTGGAGAGGAGACCCATCAGACCATTGCTCGTCTACTGCCTCAGGACGAGACTTTCGAACCCATTGTCAGGAATCTGCAAGCAGATCCTAACTCTGAACCAGGTTATGCTTTGAGTTCAGACCTGCTGTATACTTGCAGCAGAGGCGAGGAGCGCTTGTGCATTCCCCAAGACCAGCGGCTTAGGACACTGCTGATGTCAGAGTGTCATGATGCCCGCGGACATTTCGGGTTCTTAAAGTCTTATGCATCCCTGTCGCAACACTTCTTCAGGAAGGAGATGCGGAGTGATATGCTGCGCTATGTGGACACCTGTGAGCTCTGCCAAAGGAATAAGGTCCAACGTAGACCTCCTTTGGGACTGCTCAAACCCACCCTTACCCATACCTGATGGCCCTGCTGAATATGTGTCGATAAGCTTCACAGATTTACGCAAGACCACCCCTCGTGGCATGCGTCAGGTTATGGTCTGCGTGGACAGGTTCTCCAAATACGCAGAGTTCATCCCCTTGCCAGAGGTAGCTAGGGTAACGGCTGTGAGAGCAGCCTTCTCTGAGAGGTGGGTCACACACCATGGACCGCCCACTTCTATTGTCAGTGATCGAGACCCCCTGAAGCCAATGGTTTGGCTGAAGTGATGAACCAAGTCTTATTCCAGCTGCTGCGTCCTGTCATCTCTCCAGATCAACAGGGCTGGGATCTTCACTTAGTGAGGGCACAACTCATGTATAACATGTTTGTCCACTCCTCGACAGGGTTCAGTCCCTACCGGTTACACTGGGGACGTGAACCACGACAGCCTCTCGATGATATCATCGATAAGGCTAAGCCTGATCTGACACCAGACACAACAGAGTTCACCAGACGTTATCGTTTGGATGTGGAAAGAGCGCGATCGAACTTGTTCAAAGCCCAAAAGGCTATGATTGAACAAGCTAATCGCCATAGGCGGCCTTCCCCCATCCGCACTGGTGATCATGTCTGGGTGGCCAGTTCTGAGCTGTCGAGGGAGGAGGATATCTCCCCCAAGCTGTTGCCACGTTACCTGGGTCCATGGCAGGTCCTAGATACAGTGGGCGCTGATCCCTTCGGTCCGTCCTACGTTATCGACGTCCCGTTGCATCTACGTACCTACCCGGTCTTCCATGCATCTAAGCTGCTTCCTTTCACTCCAGCTGATGCATTCCCAGACCGGCCCCCTCAATTTGGTCCACCGATCCCTGGCAAGGGATATGACGTGGAATGGATTGAGGACGAGTGGGGCATCGGCCCCGACCGACAGTATCTTGTGAGGTTCGCATTCCAGACTCCTTCTGAGAACAGATGGTTCTACAGAAGGGAATTTCTCAAGACAACAAAGTCAGTTGTTTTGAGATATGAAGCGGCTCAGAAGGGCAACCTTCCTCGCCGTTCACCTCGCCTGCATCCCTAGCTCGGAGGTCCTCGCTCCCGGGGAGGGTAAGCCTGCAATGACTTGCTGATTCTGACTGCCGAGATTGACTGCGAGGCTGTACACTAACCGGTAGGGTTAGATTCGTAATTTTGTTTGGCTGAGGGCTAACCGAGAGACTTGTCGGTAAGGAAATTCGTGAGGGACATATCTGTAATTCTGGGAAAATATAGGCCCAGTACTAACCCGAATTCCTACAGCTACCCTAACTGCGTATAGCAGGCCCGGACTACCCCTAGGACAGACAGGCCCTAAGTGGCCTATGCCGATAGACGGTCCTATAGCCTATAGCCGGGTCCGGTAGAGGCTGAGAGGCCGAAACAG